CCCCCCCTCGGTCAGCTGGATAAACCGCACCTGCCACGCTCCACCCGGTTAGCGCCCAATATGTCATATTGCTGGTGCGAAACATGCAGGTATTTACATTGTGATGATCTGCACCCCGCACGTCTCTCCGATCCTCATCGGGGTCGCCTCCGATGCTCCGGAATCACAGACAGACAGATCTACCTACTACTTCCTCCTCGGGGACCTCCACACCTTCTCCAGCGAGGGCAGCGCGCCCTCGCTGGCCACCCGGCCCACCTCTCGGCTTCGTGGATAAATGGTTCTCATACTCCGAGTGTAAATTCCTCATCCTCTCCCCAGTGACCACGGCCCCATCTCTGCGAGCGAGCGGTAGCACAAACAACTCCTGCACTCGTCTCTCTCGCTTCGCTCAGTTGTACACAGAAGTTGTCAAGTAAGTCTCATGATTGAACCCCGAGTCCAAGGCACGGCACCATTCTTTTTTCTTTCTCTTTTCATCCTCCTTCTAAAATGGTTAATGAGGGACTAGCCTAGCTAGGGAAAGAATGCGACATAACCTGGCTCCACAAGGTATAGCTCGTCTGGGCTGGCGTCGCAGTGCTTCCGTAGTGAAGCAAGACTTTAGGTTGCCTTAGGTGAACCTGTGCTTTCTGAAAAGGTGATTAGGAGCATCGGGAGAAACATGGCGAAGAAGAAGATCCGCAAGCCGACCCGGACGCAACCAACTCGGGCCTGCAAACGGATCTACGCGACCATTCCTGCCCAACATGACGAGCAGGTATGTTGAGCGAGCTGCAGCTCGTTCGCGATGAGTGCGGCGGGAGTGCGCGGGAGAGGTCTCACCCTTTGCAAGAAGAGCAAAACCGGATCTAGAGAGCTGTGGCGGGAGTGGCCGTGGGGACGCACCACAGCTCTCAGGATCCGATTTTGTTTTTTCCACTTCCTTTTCTTGCTACATTGAAGTACGCGATTGACTTAAACTTCCACTCTGTCGCTCGCAGCTCAGGTCCCTGGAACAACTAACCGACGACGTCCTGCTCGAGGTTTTGCAGCGCCTGGACGTCGTCGACCTCCTCACCTGCCGCCTGGTGTGCAGGAGGCTGGGCGCGCTGGCGCTGCACCGGGACGCCTGGAGTCGCAGGACCCTGAGCACGCTCCGCTCGGCGGGCGGGAACAGGCTGACGTGCCCAGTGCTGCGCCTGGCGCCGTGCCTGCACCACATGACCGTAGACCTGCCGCCGCGCACACGCGTCTGCGGCCATCTGTTCACGACCACGTGTGCCGCCGGGGGACTGGAGGTGCGGGACGTGTACTGGACACACTATACTGCGGGTGGACACGCGGCCCGGCTGATCCAGCGCCAGGCGACGCTCGGCCGGCTGAAGAGGGTGGCCGTCAAGTACGATGAATGCGTCGTGAGTCACGCCGCGGCTGACACCCCCTCCTTGTTTGGGACCTTGATGTCGACACCTGGGCTGGAGGAGATTCGGCTCCACGTCAGTTTGTACCGTCCCTTCGAGCTCAGCGAGTGCGCCGAGCTCCAGCAGCAGCTCCAGCCAGTGCCCAGCTCACTGCGGAGATTCCACATCGCAGTCAAGGGAGCCAACCCATTTGTCCAGTTTGTTTTAAGAACGCACGCCGCCACCCTGGAGGAGGTCCACGTCCTCGGGTCGTTCTCGCCGCACCACCGAGTCCCGCTCTCGACAATGCACCTGCTGGCCGGGCTCCCTACTCTGCGCGAGCTCACGCTGCACCACATCCAGCCCGGCCTGGGGGTCCTGGCCAAGTCCGGGCCGCTGCTGCTGACCCTGAACATCATCGTCGGGGAGGGGGATCCTGAGACGTACGGCGGCGGCGGGGTAGAGAGGCTGCGCCGAGCCCGCCCGGGGCTGCAGGTCAAGATCCAAGAGAAGGACAGGCGCGCGTGATGAGGCCGACCACTAGGAGGTGTCTCATCCCACCATTAATGTTCATGCTTGAACAACATTTACAAATGTACACGAACTTGTTCGTTGTACTGCCGTAAAATGTATTAAACGTTATTATGCCAGTTATTGACGCTTTCTTCAACATTCCAAATGCTAAATCTCCGCTTCTCTTTAGACAGCTTTAAACTACTTATACTCAACGTGGGGCGGGGAGACCTATGGGCGATCACTCCCCAATTCAATTATCTCCCACTCCCCCTTCCCCCTCCTCTCACCCTCTGACCGGTTTTATAAGGGAGGTGGTGACAGGGGCAGTCGTCCCCCCCCCCTTCCCCCTTTCCCGGGGTCAGCCCTAGAAAGCCGCCTAAAAGATAGACAATTTGCAATACAAAACCCCTGTATGTAGGCCAGCCACAGATTTTCCCCTCCCCTTCCCGCCTCCCCGGTCACCTAAAACCGCGCCTGCACTCTCTTCCTGCGGTTCCGGCTATAGCGCGCAATGTCAAGCATTGCCGCTGGTTCGCAACATGTGCACAGTGCCGCCGTGCACCTCGTGCGCTTCTCCCCGAGCTTCGCCGGGGTGTCGTCTCTGCGGTCTCTCCAGCAGCGGGATCACAGACAGACAGAGCTACCATTCTTCTCCTCGGGGACCCCCACCTTCATTGTGCCGCGTGCCCGCGACGCTCCGCGGCCGCGGCACCGCGTACCAACCACCTCGCGCGACGTGTCCAAAGCGAAGGATACGGCGCCCCCCTCTGCGACGTCACGCTCCTTCCGCGTGCCCCCGCGGAGTGCGCGGCCCGCCCCTCGGCATTAGCGGTTAAGAGTTCTTATACGCCGAGTGTAAATTTCTCATCCCCAGCGAACACGCACCACCCATCTCCCATCTCGGTGCGAGACGAGGCGAACGCTAGCACACACAAGCAAGTCTTATACTCATCTCTCTCGTTCCACTTATTTCTGCACGGTAGTTTGCAAGTAAGTCTCACGGGAGAACCCCGAGTCACAGGCACGGCATCAATCTTTGCTTTCTCGTCCATCCACCCGTCCAAAAAGGTCAATGAGATGGTGGCGCGTAGCGTATCACGGCACCATAACAAAGCGACATAACCTCAATAGCTCCGCTAGGCATTGCTCGTCCGGACTGGCGTCGCAAGTAGCAAAGAGCGGTTTCCGTAGTCCAAGCAAAGACTTTAGGACGCTTTAGGTTAACCTGTGCTTTCTAAAAAGGTGAGGAGCATCGCGGGAGAGACATGGCGAAGAAGAGGAAGAGGAAGACCCGCGAGCCAAGACTCAAGGGCCGCAGGCCGACGCGGACGCAACCAGCTCGGGCCTGCAAACGGACCTACGCGACGGCAGCTACAGTTCCTGACCAACAAGAGCAGGTATGTTGAGCGAGCTGGGGACTCGGTGTGATGGGCGTCAAAGGGGAGAAGAGACGGGTCAGCTCGGGTGTCGGGTGCTCGTCGCCTCGCAAAGCTCGCGGGAGGGGGGGGGGGGGTACACGTTTGCGATTAGTACAGCTTCATAACAAACCAAATAATAGGATACGTCGTTATAGCTCGGAAAGGAAGGAAGAAGTACTAAACCGGATCAAGAGAGGTGTGGCGGGCGTAGGGAGCGACCCCTGCCCACCCGGTGCTCCTCCCCTCACCTACCCCTACTGTACCTCTCTGGATACGGGCCTTTTCCGATTTTCCGTAAGGAAACGCGATGCTGTTCTGGCATGGGTTAAAAATTTCACTCTGTCGCTCGCAGCGCCGGACCCTGGACCAGCTTCCCGACGACGTGCTCCTCCTGGTGATGCAGCAGTTGGACGTCGACGACCTCGTGTACGGCTGCCGCCTCGTGTGCAAGAGGCTGGGCGCGCTGGCGCTGCACCCGGAGGCCTGGAGGCACAGGACCCTGGGCACGTCCTCGAGGGCGTCCGGCAGCAGGACCAGGCTGACCTGCGCGGTGCTGCGCCTGGCGCCCTGCCTGCACCACGCGACCGTCGTCCTCCCGTTGACGATGGACGTCTGCGGCCACCCACTGTTCAGCACCAAGTGTGCCGTCCGAGAACTGGAGTTGGACGTGGACTCCGCATTCACAACGGTTTCGGTCGCGGGTACAGGGGCGCTCACTGCCCGGCTGGTCAAGCGCCAGGCGTCCCTCGGCCGCCTGAGGAGAGTGGTGATCAAGTACAAGTGTAATAGTAAACATGAACAACTCATGAGTCAATCCGAATCCTCCGCCTTGTTCCGGACACTGGCCTCGACACCTGGGCTGGAGGAACTCTGCCTGACCGCTCAATTGGGGGTTCGCAGCCCCATCTCCCTCACAGAGTGCAAGCAGGTAGGGCACCGCGTGCGCAGCTCAATGAAGAGGTTCCGCGTCGCCATCGACGGGGTCGACCCCTTCTCCCAATCAGTCCTGGGGACGCACGCCGCCACCCTGGAGGAGGTCCACTTCGGCCAAGTCTCGTGGTCGATCCCGGTCTCGACGTCGACGCTGCATCTGCTGGCCGGGCTGCCGAGCTTGCGCGAGGTCGCGGTGCACCACGACCTGGCCGGCGTGGAGGTGCTGGCGCGGTGCGCGACCCTGCGGACCGTCATCATCACGATCACGGGCAACGGCCAGGATGGGCACGCCGCCGTGGACGCGGCCGAGCTGCTGCGCCGAGCCCGCCAGGTCCGCGAGGTGAACATCCGCGGCGGGGCCATCGGCTGCTACGTGTCCGCCGCCGTCTGCACGGAGCTGGTCCGCGGCCTCGCGTCGTCGGCGCGGTCTGACCTCGAGAAGCTGCACATCGCCTGCTACATCTGGAGGCAGTCGTTCCGGACCGAGCGGGAGGAGGAGTTGCTCCAGGAGCTGCTGCAGGCGCTGCTCCGGGCGCTGCCCCGGCTGACGGCGCTGCGGGAGCTGCACGTCGGCCAGCTGAGCCGACGGGCGTGCGAGGACGTCCTGCTAGCCATCAGCCCCGCGACCCACCCCGCCCTGCGCCTGCCCGGATGTAAAGATCCGCACTCAGTACTATAGTCGAAAACTGTAGTTAAACTGTAGTTAAACTAAAGTTGAAGAATAGGTTTCTATAGTTTAACTGCATTTTTTTCGGACGTAGGGCCACAAAGCGGGAAAAACTGCAGATTAACTACAGTTTAACTGCTATGATGAAATTACTAGAGTTCTGACTGCAGTTCGTCTTCAGATCCTTCCACCCGGGTGGTCTCGGTGCGGGGCTGCGGGCACGGCTGGGCGCGCGAGGACGCCGTCAGGGCGCTGCTGGCGGCCCGCCCGGACCTGCACGTGCGCGTCGCCAGGTACTGGGGCCCGGACAACCTCCCCTACGGCGCCGTCTGCGACCCTCGGCACCCTTGCGACGAGTGCAAGTCCGGCAAGCAGCAAGTGGCTAGTGGGCTCCTCCAGACCATGTCCTCCAAAAGCTCCGCCACTCTTGTCCTGGAAGGGCGCTCTGCATCTCCACTGTACCACCATCGCTCGCGCCCGGTGATATTTGTTAAAAAGCTTGTCAGTTGATGTTGAGACCATTTCATTCTTTCTTAAAAATTATTGAGCAAGAATGCGATATTAATTAAACCATTTGTAAAGTCAAAATATCGATTCTCTTGAAACCGCTTGGAACTATCCCTAACTTGTCAAGAAGTCGAGAAGCCGGCATTTGGCTGGGCCGGGGAGGCAGCTGATAATAGGCCGTACCCTTTTCCCGGTTCGTATTACAAACGCACGCCGCCACCCAGGAGGAGGTCCACTCTCTCAAATAAAACATAAAAATCCAAAATAGCGACTTTCTTGTAAACGCCGACCTCTGGTCAGGGCGAGGAGGCAGATACAGTCGCCTCACTATAAGAAGTAACTTGAACATTGCGCGTTAAGAAAATAGTCCCTACCATCGTGATGAGCTAACTTCTAGTCTAACAATCGCACGGCTGAAAACTAAATACTAAATAATGGACCAAACTTTATCGTTTAGCACTGGATGATTCCTGTTACAAGACAGTTACGTTTAGACACTTTAATAAGAATTTTTGCGAACAGCTATCGCTCCGCTAGGTTACTCCTTATAGTGAGGCGACTGTAAAAGGTGAATAAGTATACTCTCCCCCCTCCCCCCTGCATCCATTCCTCACCTACTCCTACTCCCTCCCCCTCTTTCGCTCCGTTTGGCGCGCACGTCACGCATTTGCGGCATTTGCTCTACTTTTCTCCCCGGAGAGCTCCACCTTTCCGTCGTCTTGACTGCGTGTTGCTCTCCGCGACACCGCGCACTAGCAAGTGAAGGCCGTGGCCGTGGCCAGTCCCTCCGATAGCCTACTGCCAACATAGGCCTGGTGCAAGGTAAATCGAGAGGGAAAAATATTAGAGGTGTCCGCTGTAATTTTCTGTGCGCTTGGGAGTCGCCGATCAGATTATAGATCCCGGAAACAGCACACTTACTGAGTACAATTAATGAGAACAAAGGTTCTTACGTTATGATACCGACGACGATTAATTTGATTCTCATACTCCGAGTGTGCCTATATTTCTCATCCCCGCGTGAGCACACTCGCATCTGAGTTCAAGCCGAGCTGAAGCTGAAGCGAGCGCCCGCCCGCGACCTGCGACTCTCTCGCTTAGTTTTGCACAGCAAGTTAGCAAGTAAGTCCATGGTTAGACCTCGTGTCCCTTTACATCATTCTTTTCTTTCTCTTCTATGCGCCTATCCTAAAATGGTCAACAAGCGGGGGACTTGCCTTGTAGTGCGGACCCGCAACAAAGCGACATAACCTAATTCCCACACCTGCCCTCCGCTTTGCTCGGCTGGCGTCTGGGGTTGCAGTGCCTCCGTAGAAGCCAGAAGTATAGTGAACTATTATTGTCGTCTAACTTGTGTGCTTTCTGAACAGGTCGCGAGTGTGAGAAGAGACATGGAGACAACCGTCAAGCCGACCCGGAGGCCACCTCATCGGGCCTGCAAACGGACTCATGGGCTCAATTCTGAACAGGTATGTTGAGCGAGACGGAGCTCGGCGTGGGCGGCGTCGGTGGATGATATGGGTTAGAAGCACAAGTCGGGTTGTGTGCTCGGTGGCGCCCTGCGCCTATCGCGGCCCGGGACATAGGAAATAAGATACGAAAAGGGGGGGGGGGTTAAGGACAATGTCCGCACACCCAGACTGTTACAAAATCAGCCAACTTCTGGGTGTTAACCGAAAGCAGTGTTCGGACCGATGTATGGTACTCCTAAGGCGGGTTCCACCGATATTTGTCTCCGAATCTGGTGTTCGGACAGGCCCGAACAGGGCAGCCACACAGTCGCGACAAGTACGGCGCAAGCTTGGGCGCAAGTCGCGGCGGGGGGCAGTCTCGCGAGTCGACCGCGCGGATCACCCTCGTCGTAGGGGTGCATGTCCTCGCGACTCGCGGCCTGGCCTGTCATCTCGCGGGGCACTCGCGGCGCTCGCCGTCCTCGCGGCGTCGCGGGTGTTGGTAGCAGCCGAATGGCGGGGCTGGCGCGGCTCGCAACGCAACGGCCGCAGAGCAAACCAGCCGAGCCGTTCCAGCAGAACCGGCAGAGAATCCGGACACACCCTAGCCACCCCGCACAAGAGAGCACACGACACACACGTAAAATTTAATATCGTGAATATTTAAATTAAATGACAAAAGATTTCTGGGGGTACTTTTAGATTTCTCAGTAGTTTATTCCCGTTTATTCCGTTTTATTCTGTCTATCTTTCACCCTCACCCTCTCCCTCTCCTTCCTCCCCTACGTTACCATACTACGTAGTAGTGTTGGTGTATTGACGATATACGTTTACCGGACGGCGAGTTAAGCCAGTTAAGCTGACGAGCTGACCTGCGAGTGAAGTAAATGACCGAAAACAGCCCACCTTCGCAAGCCGGAAACTAGCCCGAAGAGATGGCGGACGGATTTGGGTTCCTCTCGACCACTCCTCCCCGCACCCACCACCATCACAGCTCTCTAGATCCGGTTTTGTTGTTCCCTCTCTTCGTGCTCCATTATTGAAATAGCCTACGGACTAAAACTTTTACCCTGTCGCTCGCAGCCCCGGACCCTGGACCAGCTGCCCGACGACGTGCTGCTGCTGGTGATGCAGCACCTGGCCGTCCAGGACCTCCTCGCCTGCCGCCTCGTGTGCCGGAGGCTGGGCGAGCTCGCTCTGCAGCCGGAGGTCTGGAGGCGCAGGTCCTTGATCCCGTCGCCGTACAAGAATGACAGGCTGACCTGCCCGGTGTCGCGCCTGGCGCCGTGCCTGCGCCACTTGACTGTGCTTCCCCCGTCGCGCAAGGGCGTCTGCGGCCACCTCCACACGACCACGTGCGCCGTCGAAGGTCTGGAGGTGAGGGGTAGTTGGGATAGGACGCAACGCTTTGTGACTTTTCAAGATGGTGCATTCGCGGCCCGACTGATCCAGCATCAGGCGTCCCTTGGCCGGCTGAGGAGGGTTAGAGTGGTCCTGGAAATAGTTGATAAACCCTACATGAGTGAAGATAACGTCTGCATCTTGTTTCGGACGCTGATCTCAACACCCGGGCTGGAAGAACTTGATCTGTTTGTCTCGACCGGCAGCACCGGCCCCCTCCCCCTCGTCCTCGGAACGTGCTCGCAGGTCGTGTCCAGCTCAATTAGGAGATTTCACGCTGCAGTTGAGACGGACGAATCATTTTCGCAATTGGTTTTGAGAACCCACGCCGCCACCCTAGAGGAGGTCCACTTCGTTGGGTCCAAAGAGGGTGATCTGCTGTCGCTCTCGACCGCGACGCTGCAGCTGCTGGTCGGGCTCCCGTGTCTGCGCGAGGTGGCCCTCGACGACCAGCGCGGGATGGAGGTGCTGGCGCAGTGCGCGACCCTGCGGACCCTCACCATCACCATGATGGGCTCAGGCTACCCCGACGCGGCCGCGGCCGCGGCCGCCGCGGAGCTGCTGCGCCGAGCCTGCCAGGTGCGGGAGGTGAACATCAGGGGCTACCTCTACCACTTCGACTGCTTCCGGGCCCTCGCGTCGTCGGAGCGGTCGAACCTCGAGAAGCTGCACATCGCCTGTCCCATCTGGTCCTCGAGGGAGAAGGAGCTGCTGCAGGTGCTGCTCCAGGCGCTGCCGCAGCTGCCGGCGCTGCGGGATCTGCACGTGGGCCAGCTGAGCCGACAGGCGTGCGAGGAGATCCTGCTCGCCGTCAGCCCCGCGACCCAGCCCGCCCTGCGCCTGGTCTCGGTGCACGGCTCCGGCTGCCGCTTGGCGCGTAAGGACGCCGTCAGGGCGCTGTTGACGGCCCAGCCCGAGCTGCACGTGCGGGTCGCCATGGAGTGGGGTCCGGACAAACACCGCTCTCCGTTCCAGCAAATGTTGCCGGACAAGGTGGCCATACCGCCCGTACGCGCCGCCACTCTTGTCCTGGAAGGGTGCTCCCCATCTCCAAAATACCACAATCCCTTGGACACCGTGGTTCATGTTGAAGAACTTGTTCGCTGAAATTGAGACTGTCAAAATAAAAATGCGCCGTTTGATCACTATGAATGAATACGGTATTGATTAAACCATTTGTACGGCAGTCTAAAGTCTCGCTTCTCTTGAATCCGCTTCCAACTATCCCTAACCTGTCAAAGACGTCGAGACTGACGGTGTAAGCCGGCCTTTGGGTCGGGGCGGGGAGGCAGATAATAGGTAGGTGAATACTCTCTTTCTCTGTTCCTCTCCCCTCCTCCACCCCCCCCCCCCTAAACCTCTCTCGCCCTCTCTCGCCCCGATTGCCGCTGCCGCTCATGTCATGCATTGCTGATGCGAAACATGTGCACCGTGCTGTGCACCCAGCCCGGCTCCCCGCGGCGGCCGAGCCTCACCGGGGTCGTCTCTGCAGCTCCAGAATCACAGACAGACCGACAGACGGGCATACGGACGGGACAGAGCTACTACTTTTCTCCTCGGGGACCTCACCCC